GTAAGGCTAAGTTCTTGAAAGCTGTTTCTATTCTTCAAGGAGTCTGTGATCATGCACCTTTACTAAATGTCACTTAAAGAGGAAACTCTTAAAAAATATACCCATGCAAACAGAGACCTTCAGGGGCTAGCAGACCAGGTTCAAGGCATCTCACCACATCACTGTGCAATACAATGGTTGAATGGTGAAGTGCTACAAGGGGGTAGTACCACCACCATCCAAGGTGTCATAATATTGGTCAAGGAAGCCCTCTACCATCCCTGTACAAACAGGGTTATTGGGGAAAGATGATCAGCGAACACTATTTCATCCCTTACAAGGTGACTTTGCTCTGATGGACTGTGTTCACTTCCTTCACCAGAAGTTCTAGTCTTAGCTAAGGCCCTGTAGAAACTGATAGTAAGGCAGTGTCAACAATTGCTATGCCTTGGCTATGGGGCTGCATTGTCAACTTGGGCGATTTCACCAAGGTCACTTTTAACATCTGCTATCTCCAGGAGTGATGGTGCATGTCTTTAATCCCAGCACTTGGGAGAAGAGACAGAAGCAGGCAGATCTCTGTGAGTTCCAGGTCAGGCTGGCCTACATAGTGAGTTCCAGGCCAGCTGGGGCTACAGGGAGACCCTGTCTCAAAAGAAACCTACCTACCAACCAACCAACCAACCAACCACAAAAAATCTATTGCTATCTCTTTTCTAACTTCTGGAAAGAGTCTGAGTACATATACACTGCTGGATAGCTTCAGTTGTCAACTTGACACAGCTGGGTAGAGGAAACCTCAACTGAGATTGGACTGGCCTGTGGCGGTATCTATGGGATACTTTCTTGATCATTGAATGATGTGGGAGGTGCCACCCTTGGGCAGTAGGTCTTGTGTTGTATAAGAAAGTATGCTGAGCACAGGCCAAAGGAGCAAGCCAGTAAGCAGCACTCCTCCATGGTCTGTGTTCCAGATTCTTGCCTTAGCTTCCCTGGATGATGGACTGTGCTGAAAGCCATATAAACCCTTTCCTCCCCCAGTTGGTTTTTGTCAATGTGTTCATCACAACAACCAAAAAAAGGGGTAACTAGAGCATTCACTAAGCTTCAGAGGATCCGTGCAAAATACCCAGGTTCTTACTGTCACTAATACATGGTATTTTTTAAATAATAGAGAAAAAAAACAAACAGGGAGAAAAGAAAAGGTAAAGGCAAGGAAAGGGAAGAAGAGACTAGGAGATGGCTCAGTTTAAATAAGTCAATCAGGACTTTCTCAATGACAAAAGATTCCACTATTCCACTGGGACTACTAAACGGAGAGTAGAGCCAGAATTCTTTTTGTTTTTTGGTCTTTTTGAGATAGTGTCTCCCCGTAGCCCCAGCTCGCCTGAACTCACTGTGTAGGCCAGGCTGGCCGTGAACTCAGAGATCTGCCTGCCTCTGCCTCCCAGTTGGGACTAAAGACATGTGCCACCACACCCAGCAAGGGCAAAATTCTTTTTTTAATTTATTATTTTTATTTTATTCTATGTGTATGAGTGTATGCCTCGATATACGTACGCACAACCATGTCATGCAATGCCCACGGAGGTCAGAAAAGGGTGTCAGATCCCCCGGAACTGGAGTTTCAGACAGTTGTCACCCACTATGTGGGTGCTGGGAATCAAACCCCAGTCCTCTGTAGTCAGTGCTCTTAACCGCTGAGCCATCTCTCCAGCTCCAAAATACTTAAACAAAGAGAATCTACTGGCAAAATAAGTTACTCCATTTGTAACATAACATAAAAAAAGCAGGGAATCTGCCAACAGACTAAACTGTAGTTCCTTTATTTATTTATGAAATATTATACACTTACTATGTCCACAAGTATTATTATAATATAGGTATTGTCCCCAATTCTGAAAAAAAATGTAAAAAGAGAATAAAGTGCTACAGTTATAAGGTTGAACAGGTCAAACTCCCTATCTTTATTTATAGGGCTTAAAATCTACTTGGAGAAAAAGTATGTAAATTAAAACAGTATGTGCTATCCCAGCATAGTACCCCACACCTGCAATCTCAGCACTCAAAGGTAGACAGAATCACTGTAAGTTCAAGGTTAGCCTGGTAACCTACATGGCAAGACCCTGTCTCGAAAACAAGAGCAAAAGATCCACAATCAAACAAAAAAAGAGAATGTGCTATAAAGAAAATAAACTGGGAAGAATCATCAGTGATGGGGTAACATTTTAACAAAATGTAAACAACTGGAAAAGAATTTTCTAAACAGAGAACAAGACCAAGCTCTCTGAAAATGAACCACCATTTTAGCCTGAAAACCTAACAGTCAAAAATAAATAGAAAGCCCAATGTGGTGGCTCATGCCTTTAATCCCAGGATTGCAGGGGCAGGGGCAGGGGCAAGGGCAGGGGCAGGGGCAGGGGCAGAGGCAGAGGCAGAGGCAGGAGGATCTCTGAATTCAAGGCCAGCCTGGTCCACATGGCCAGTTCAAGACCTGACAAACTATATAGTGAGACCCTGTCTGAAAGGTAAAAATGAAACAAACTTGGGGTAGGGGTGGCTAAGAGAGGGTTGAACGGTTAGGTTCTAAGGGACGGGCTTTGCATACAAGAGTACACTTACATTCAGGCAAAACACTCATACACATTAAAAAAAAAAAAAAAAAAAAAACTGCCATGCTAAGAAAATTACTATTAAAATGTGGTGCTAGGGATGGAGAGATGGCTCAGCAGTTAAATGCACTGGCTGCTCTTGCAGAGAACCCAGGTTTGGTTCCCAGCACTCACATGGTCACTAATAACCATCTGTAACTCCAGTTCCAGAGGATTCAATGCCTTCTTTTGTTATCCATGGGCACTGCACGACGGGTGCATTTACATACACGCACTCATAACACTCATACACATAAAAATAAATCAAGCCGGGCGTAGTGGTGCACGCCTTTAATCTCAGCACTTGGGAGGCAGAGGCAGGCGGATCTTTTTGAGTTCAAGGCCACCCTGGTCTATATAGCGAGTTCCAGGTCAGCTGGGGCTACAGGAAGCTCAAAAAAAAAAAAAAAAAAAAAAAAAAATCAAAAAAAAAATTTTTTAAATAAATAAAATGTGGGTCTAGCAAGATGGCTCAGCAGTTAACATCACATACTGCTTGCTCTTGCAGAGCTTGCTTAGCAAGCACAAGGCCCTTGGTCAATACACAGCACTACAGCACTAGACATCCATTTCCCCAAAACCATGCTACAGGCTATAATATTTACAATATAGACATGTACCAAGATTACATAATTCAGGAAGACAAACCAACGTAATTAAATATAGGCAGCAAATTTTCAGACACTTCATGAATAGATATAATTGGTTCCCAGCACTTGCGTTGGGTAGCTCACAACCACCTGAAACTCCAGTTCCAGGGGAATCCAATGCCTGATGTCTCTAGCCTCCACAAACACCTGCACATACACCCACACACATGCTGCTCTTCCAGAGGACCCTAGCCTAGATCTCAGTACCTTGCACTCACATGCACATACACCCACACACATGCTGCTCTTCCAGAGGACCCTAGCCTAGATCTCAGTACCTACATCAGGAAGCTGATACCTGCACACACGTCAGACACTAACACAGACACACACAGATACAGACACACAAATAAAATTTAAAGACAAAATTAAAATTAAAATGTCTAGCTCAGTGATAAGAGTCTGCCTCGTAAGCACAAGGGCTGTGGGTTCAATATACAGCACTGCACATCCACTTCCCAAAAAGCAAGCTACAGGCTAGAAGAAATATTTACAATATAAACATGCCTAGATTACATAATTCAGGAAGGGGATAAACCACCCAATTACAATATGGGCAGAAATTTTTCGGAGACTTCATGACTGGACATAATTGGTCAAAAAGTACATAAAAAGATGTTTAACCTTAGTCAATAGGTAAAACCTATGAAATACTGCTACACTCACTAGAATATCTGAAGGACAGAAATACTAAGTGTTGGAAGGATTGAAGAACTAGAAATCTGTCATTCATTACTAGTGGGAATCACTTTGGAAAATAGTCTGACAGGCTTTTATGAAGCTGAATATTCAGCAAGTTATTCAAAAGCTGGACACAGTAGCACATACCTATAATCCCAACAACTAGGAGGTAGACGCAGGAAGATCAGTTCAAAGTCATCCTCAGCTACCTAGTGAAATTCAAGGCCAACCTGTCTCAAAGCAAAACAACAATACACAAAACAAAACAAAAAGATAAAAACAGGAAAACCTTATTGGGCCAGTCAGGCATGGTAGCATATGCCTATAAGAGCCTATAGCAGCACTTAAGAGGCTAAGGAAGGATTGTAAATTCAAGGTCTACTACATATATACAGAGTTCTACGCTACCTTGGGCTACAAAGCAAGGAGAGACCCTACCCCCAAAACAAAAACAGTAATTGGGCTTTACATATAGAATAAGGTTTTTTTTTTTTTTTTTTTTTTTGATTCTATGAGTGTATTGCCTGCATGTTATGTGAGTGCACCTGTGTGGTGCAATACCGCAGTGGTCAGAAGGCATGGATTCCCCTGAAACTGGAGTTAAGGACGGTTTGTAGGCGCCATGTGGATGCTGGGAATTGAACCCAGGTCCTCTGCAAGAGCAGTCAGTACTCTTAACTGCTGAGCCATCTCTCTAGCCCCAGATATTTTTTAACATAAGAAAAATGTTACTTCCAGAAAGCTAAAATCTCTAAAGGATTACTTTATATGACTTGCAATTTTTTGTGAATAGTACACAAAAATTTGTTATTTATATCAAATATTCATTCAGTATCTACTTACCATAAGCCAACATGGTAGAACTTTAAGGCTAAGGCAGAAGGATTGCTGCAAGTTTAAGGGCAGCTTAAATAGGCTACATAAAGAGTCTATGTCTTTGGGGAAAAATGAAAAACAACAAAAACAAAAAAAACCCACCCCAGAATTCTAGGCAGACAGAAGTCATCTTTAACTGAAAGACAAGACACTTAAAACTTACGTTGTCAGCAAAAATGCCCCGTCACCACATCTCTCTAGAGCCTTTCGTGCAGGAGGTTTTGCTGCAAATTCTACAAAACCTTTTCCAGTAGCTCTACCTCGATCATCCACAACCACAACAGCTTTCTCTACTGGTCCAAACTGGGAAAATGCTTGCTCTAGAAGCTCATTGGAAACAACTGGAGAAAGGTTCTTGACTGTTAGGGCCGCTCCATGTGTAGCAAAGCGAATTCGGAGAGGTCTGCTCTTCAATATGGTGCCATCCAGCTCTGCTTTTGCAATTTCAGCCAGTGTTCTGGATTCCTTTTTAGGAGGAAAAATCATTTTTCAAAAGTTGAGTGACAAAACATTTAATACTGGTTTGGTTCTAAGTAAGAGACTAGGTAATGCTAGAAAATGCACAATTAAATCACTTTTATCTTTTAACTTTGGTATCATGTTTTTACTATTCAAAGATCGTTAGCATTCCCAAGTGCTAGGATTAAAGGCATGTGCCACCATGCCCGGTGTGAACATTTTAATATACATTAAAAAAAAAATCCCCACTCAGGGCCTGTTAAAATTCATCACTGAACAATCAAATGCTCATGAACAAGTTGCCAGCTATTAAATACTCAAAGCAGTACTTGTTAAAGCCGCCTATCAGTATTATTAAAAAAAAAAACAAACAAAACAAAACAAAAAACCATAATTTTTAAGAATATCTGTTATGAGGATGCAGAAATGGCTCAGTAGTTAAGAGCACCAACTGCTCTCGCAAAGGACCCAGGTTCGATTCCTAGCACCCACATGGTAGTTAACAACTGTCCCTAACTCCAGTTCCAGGGGATCCAATGCTTTCTTCTGACCTTCAAGGGCAATTCATGACACAGGTGCGCTTCCATGCAGGCAATACATTCACACACATAAAATATTTTAAAAAATAGGCCAGGCGTGGTGGTACATGCCTTTAATCCCAGCACTCGGGAGGCAAAGGCTGGCAGATCTCTGAGTTCAAGGCCAGCTTGGTCTATATAGCGAGTTCCAGGACATCTGGGGCTACAGGGAGACCCTGTCTCAAAAAAGACAAAAAAAAAAAAAAACAAAAAAAAAAACAAAACAAAAAAAAAAACAAAACAAAAAAAAAAACAAAACAAAAAAAAAAACAAAACAAAAAAAAAAACAAAACAAAAAAAAAAACAAAACAAAAAAAAAAACAAAACAAAAAAAAAAACAAAACAAAAAAAAAAAAAAAAAAAAAAAAAAAAAAATTAATGTTGTCATAGTAGTTTCTAATACAGATATTCTTTTGAAAATTACCTCACCCTATTTTTTTATGTGTATGAGTGTATTGCCTGCATGTGTATAAGTGCTATGCACTATCCTCAGAGGCCAGAAGGTGATGTAGGATTCCCTGGAACTGGAGTTATGGATGGTTGTTAGCCATCATGTGGGTGCTGGGACTCAAACCTGGGTCCCCTGCAAGAGCACTCAGTGCTCTTAACCACTCCATCTCTCTAGCCCCTTTATTTTTATTTTTGAGACAGGTCTCACTAGCCCTGCCTGGACGCAAACTCAAGAGAGCCACCTGTCTCTGGCTCCAAGTGCTGGGATTAAAGGTGTGTACTACCTTGCCAGACAAAAACATTAACTCTTTAGGCCATATATATATATATTTGGGAGAGGGGTCTTTTTGAGATAAGGTCTCCCTATAGCCCCAACTGGCCTGGAACTTACTAGCTAGCCTCAAACTCAAAACTCCCCTGCCTCCTGCTTCTGCTTTTGGTGTTAGAATACAAGTATGTGGAACCAGGCCTGGCTCATACACAACATCAACATCTCAATGCCAGATAGATCCTTCTTCCTTTTTATATCCATTCTCTCTTAAATATCTGTAAACATTACTATCAGGTCTTGCTAATCATGACTCCTGAAATACCTACATGGGCTACCCACATTTTTAACTATCACAGAGAGTGACCCAAATGTACAAATTCTTTTGTGCTGTGAGTCACTACTCAGCCCCACAAACTCATTTTTTAATCTGTTGAAAATATAGAATATTCAGGCCGGGTGAGATGGATCTCTGTGAGATTGAGGCCAGACTGGTCTACATAGCAGTTCCAGGCCAGCTGGAGCTACAGAAAAACCCTATTTAAAAACAAACAAACAAACAAACAAAAAATACATAAAAGAAAAAAAAATTAAATCACGGACTGCTGGGATCCTAGCCGTGGCAATTTCTGATTCAGTAAATCTGGGGTAGGGCCCTAGAATTTACTTTTCTAATAGATTCCCAGCTATTTGATTAGGTAAGACTAAAGACTACACTCTAGGAGTATAAGGTCACAACCAATTAAACTAATGAGGGAGGAAACAATTTACCTGGCCTTCTGTTAGGAAGAGATCTTAAGGTACTAGACAGGAACCAGTTTCAGGGGAAAAAAAATTTCAAATCAATTTCAGTATTAGCAGCACTAAAGTTTAAAAGCTATTACAGAAGACAGGTATGGCTCTTTTCAAGCATGTACAAGGCCCTGGTTCAATTCTAGGACCAGAAAATGAAAAGAAAAAAAAAATTAATAAAATTCACTACAAGTGGGGCAGGCTAAGTGGCTCAGTGGTAGACTATTCACCTAAGAAGGCCGAGGCCCTAGATTCAATCCTCTAAGCACCTAGGATCCATTCTCAGCACCAGGGGGAAAAAAGTCCTCCCATTTGCCATCAATTTATCTTAAATATCAGTTTTTTAAAAAATCTAAAAAGCAGCTTTTGTGCCAGATGTGGTGGCACACATCTGTAAGCCTCTCACTCAGAATTAGGAGTTGGAGGCCAGCCCAGTCTACAAACATTGTGAAATCCCATATTAAAGAAACTAAGAAAGGAGGAAAGTGAAATGGCACAGGGGGTAAAAGGTACTTGTTGCTAAGGCTGAGGGTTTTTTCTGTTGTTTGGTTGTTTTTTTTTGTTTGTTTTGTTTTTTTTGAGACAGGATTTCCCCATAGCACTACCTTACCTGGAACTTGCTATGTAGCTCAGAAAGGCCTAGATCTCACTAAATCCCACAAGATTCTAAAGGAAGGCTTATTAAAGTAAACCTCACCAAAGTTTCAGGAAATCTGTGAAACTCATCAAATGCACTTGGACCCTCCTCCCCCAAGCTTATATAAGCATTAAGGACTGCTAAGAGACCTCTCTGACCATTGAACTGCCAGAAGAGAGATTCTTCAACCTGTTTTCAGCTGCCTGAAATTGTGTAGTAAGCTCCAAGGTTCCAGCTTTCATGAACCATCACCCATGCTGGGGTGGGCTTTGGGGGATGCTACTGTCTTTGAGTTATACTGTTCCTGGAAATAACCCCTCACCCATAACCTTAAGTAGGTCTATTGTCAGTTCCCTATCTGGGATGAGTTAATGTTTATTCACTGCTCCCCCGGAATAGTGTCATACAACAGGAAGGTAAACCTGGACTACATGGCAAGTTTGAGGCCGGTCTGACCTACACAAGATCCTATCTCAAATAAACAGAAAATAAAAAAGAAAATAGATTTGAAAATATATTACCAGATCATGGCTCAGCACAGTGGCACATGCCTTTATTCCCAGCACTTGGGAGGCAGAGGAGGGCAGATATCTGTGAGTTCAGATCTGTGAGTTTGAGGCCAGACTGGTTACATAGTAAGACCTGGCCTCTAAGTCAGTAAATAAATATTACCAACCAAATAAAGGTATTCCTATAGTCAGGCATGGTGACACATGATTGTAATCTCAACACAGCAACCCATAAAAGAGAAACAAACCAATTATCTCTAGAAACATAAGTCACACCACTGTGAATTTATACCTATTTTATCAACACAGCTCATTACAGTCACCAGCCCCGTTTTTATAGTCAAGTGTACTATACAATATATGAGCTTTCCAAGTAGAAAAAATAGCACTTGAGCAATATTTAAAGCTTATAAATTTACCTGTTGCTCACAGAACTCAAGATTCTAAGTCAAATTTCTGTAAACTAACTCCTAGTTTCCAATGTAAGTCAAATTTCTGTAAACTAACTCCTAGTTTCCAACTGACAAGTCTTTCTATTCCTACACAGAAAATTTAGCCAGGCACATGATAAAGGAACAACAACAGCAGTCCCTTTCATTTCCTACTTCATAATCCCAGAGAATTAGTTTAAATGAAAAGGAGTTCACTCCTGTAAACTCAAAGCCTGGGAGACTGAAGAAAGCAGGACTGTCAAAAGAGTGAGGCTAAATTAGCCTATATAATGAGTTACAAGCCAGCCTGGACTGAGATTGTTTAAAAAAAAACAAACAGGGCAGAGAGATGGCTCAGGAGTTAGTTAATTGCACACAGTGCTCATCCAGAGAACCTGAGTTCAGTTCCCAGTACACTTATCAAAGGGCTCACAACTGCCTTTACCTCCAGCTCCAGGTGATCTAATGCCCTCTTCTGGCTTCCTTGGGCACCCACAAGCATGTGGCATACACACACACAGACATACACACACACATATAAATAAAAATCTTAAAAAAAAGATTTAAAAAAAAAAAGAACAAAAATAGCCAGGCGTGGTCACACACACCTTTAATCCCAGCACTTGGAAGGCAGAGGCAGTCAGATATCTGTGAGTTCAAGGCTAGCCTGGTCTACATAGTGAGTTCCAGGACAGCTGGGGCTACAGGGAGACCCTGTCTCAAAAAGACAAAAATTTAAAAAAAAAAAAAAAAAAAAAAAAAAAAAAAAAAGGAACAAAACAACCCTCCAAAAAGGTTAATTGTATTGGTTTAAGTGTGAAGCTTTGAAAACACAGAAATTCAATCCCTCAACTTCACTCTTTCACAGGATCAACTTCAGAATAAGATAGTTACCAGTGGGTAAGGATCATAAAAATATTACATTAACTCCTTTTGGAAAATTACCAGAAGTTGTTTAAGGTAACTTTTATTTCTGCAAGTACTGGAGACAGAACTGTCCAGGCAAATCTCTACCATTCAAGTACACCTGCAACATAATTGTGCATTTATATTTAAAAAATTTACCAGGATGGGGCAGGTGTGGTGGCACTCCTGTTAATCCCAGTGCTCAGGAGGCAGAGGCAGGTAGATCTCAGTAAGTTTCAGGCCAACCTGGTCAACATGGCAAATCTCAGGCCAGCCAGGGTTATATAGTAAGATCCTGCCTCAAAAAATATAACAGGAGACAAGTTGTTTCTCTGATGTGCAAAGATAAATGTATTTATAATTTCAATGTTCAAAATGTACTAAATACTGGGGCTGGAGAGGGCTCAGTGGTTAAGGGCACTGACTGCTCTTACAGAGAACCTGGGTTTGATTCCCAGTAGCCACATGGTGGCTAACAACCATCTGGAACTCTAGTTCCAAGAAAATCCAATGCCTTTTTCTGACCTCTGTGGGTATTGCATGACAGGAGTGCACTTACATGAGTAGGCAATATACTCATACACATAAAACAGAAATAAATAGTTTAAAATGTACTAAAAATTTAACTTGAATTAAGGAAATTTTTTGTGTTTCTAATACCTTGCATTTACCTCTCTCTTTAAGCCACTTAAATAAATGTCTGGCCTGAAAAATAATAATTTGGTTTTGTTTTCTCTACATATTAAATCCACAAAAGAACCAAATTTTGAAAGTCAAGAGTTGCAATAGAATTTTTCCACAAGTCCTCTCTCAATGGCATATGACTATAACTCCAAGACACACTAGACAGAGGTAGGAGGATCCAGAGATCCAGGCCAACCTGATCCTGTGAAATGGTGTCTCAAAAAAACAGAACAAGGGGAAACAGAAAACCTTCTAAAAACTGCAATGAATATATCAGATTTAAAGGTCTTACTACAGAGATAATTAAAAAAAAAAAATCACTTATGTGTGTAAAAATGGCTTGTCACAGTGTTAGAAAAAAACAGTATCTAACAAATGATAATGCCGATACTGATAATATGTGATAATATGAATGATAATACTGACACTTCATTACAAATCACACAGGAAAACCTAGTAAATGTATAGTGTCCTATTGATTGTAAACTCTCGATGATAAAACTTTGTAAAAAGGTAAAGGGGAGGCCAGAAAGATGGCTCAGTGGGTAAAATGAGCTTTCCAAGGAAGTGAGTTCAATCCCAGAAATATGAGGATATGAAAACACCACAAAGTTGTCATCTTCACACACATGCTGCAGCATGACACTTGCCATACTCACACCAACACCCAAATCCACACCCACACATCTTACGCACACTGTTAACAAAATGCCCCGCCCCCCCCAAATGATAGCCGGATGTGGTGGCACACACCATTAATCGCAGCACTCCAGAGGCAGAGGTAGGTGGATCTCTGTGAGTTCAAGGCCAGCCTGGTCTACATACAGAGTTCTAAGTCAGCTGGGGCTACAGGGAGACCCTATCTCAAAAAAAAAAAAAAAAAAAAAAAAAAAGAAAGAAATTAAATTAAAAATAAAGAGCTGGAGAGATGATTCAACGATTAAGAGTAGTGGCTGCTCTTGCAAAGGACCAGAGTTCGATTCCCAGCATCCACATGGTGGTGGACAACCATCATACCTCCAAGTTCCAGGGGGATCTGACACCCTCTTCTGACCTCCGCTGGCACTGCATGACAAGGACGCACCTACCTACATGCAGGAAACATACATACGCATAAAAAATTTTTTTTAAAGTAGGCATGATTTTTGCATAACTTATTGGAAAGTTTTACTACATTTAGATTAAGACATAATATTCTAATGGTAGGATAAATAAGTCTAATACAGCCTATCACTAACCCTCGTCCACAAACACTGCCCACATCCATCAAGTTTGCTGACCTGGGTGGTTACAAGTAAATAGCCGACACTGCTGGAGGACACGGGGATTTACTGTTCGAGTGTAGGCGGATACTTATTTAATGCGATGCTGGGGATGGAACCCAGGAACTCTGAGAATATACAAGCGCTCTTTCACTGAGGTATATCCCAAGTTCTTACCCGCAGACCGCGTTAAAAGCAAAAGGATGATGTGGCTTTTTTTTTTTTTTTTCTTTTTGAGACAGGATCTCCTTGTAGCCCCAGCTGTCCTGGAACTCACTATGTAGACCAGGCTGGCCTCGAACTCACAAAGATCCGCCTGCCTCTGCCTCCCAAGTGCTGGGATTAAAGGCGTACGCCACCACGCCGGGCGGACTATTCTTTTAGTAAACAACCTGCTGTTGAAATTTCTGATCACGTTCATCCCCAATTCACTACATGGACAACACAATTTGTCTGCAAGAATTGTCTCCCCAGTCGTCGCCTGCCGCTCCGACCCCGCCCCCCTGCTGTACACAAGCGCTAGCCTGATGCACGCTGCAAAGCCAACCCTGCGGCGGCTCCCTCCGAACGCCAGCGCCCTGGCCCTCAGAGGCCACGGCCGCGGCCCTTGCCACCGCCGCGGGCCCGCCCCCGCTACGGCCCCCCACAGACCCCACACCCTTGTGGCCCGCGCCACCTCGCCGCCCCCGCACCTCCAGGCAGTCTTTCCGCTTCTCGCGCCAGCGGCCAGACTCACCAGGCGAATGAAGCCGAAGCCTCGGTCGCGGTTGATGAAGACCTCGCTGGGCTCGCCGTAGCGCTCGAACAACCTCTTGAAGTCCTCCTCGGTGATGTCGGTGGGCAGATTCCCCACGAACAGGCGGCAGCGCTGCGTGTACGTCTTCTCGCCCGGCTTGAGGAAGCTCTTGATATCGATGGTGAAGCCCATCTCCTCGTCAGGGTGGTCCTCCGAGGGCGCGGGTGGCGGCGCCTGCTCCCCGGCCAGCGTCAGCGCCATGGCCGCCGCGGTCCCTGGCTCACCCTCGCCCGCCACGGACTCCAGGGCGCGAAGGCGGGCAGGGTTTTTCTCGATGCGTACTTGCTTCAGGTTTCCTCTTAACATCATCTTAGAGAGTTTGCCTCGGATGCTGGATACAGGCCTAGACGTAAATATATATACGTCTCCACATGTATCTATGGAAACGAAGCGAGAAGAGCCAGGTACCGGAGCCGCAGCCCTGCCTCCAAACACACAGACGCGACGACCGCAAGCTCAAAATGGCGCTGCTTCAAACTGCTGTTGGAAGAGACGCGGGCTGGAGCCCCGCCTCTCCAAAGTGCGCCTGCGCAAACCCGACCCGCGCGGGCCGCTGGCCAGCACTGCGCATGCGCATTAATGTAGCGGCCTTGCTGGGTCCTCCAAGGGGCATCCTCTCAATCCTAAAATAAAGACTATTGGGGTGGGGAGTTATTATTTTGAGGCTTCTTTGGTTGGTTTTGTTTTTTTTGAGACAAAGCCTCCCTGTAGCCTCAGCTGGTCTGGAACTCGGTATGTAGATCAGGCTTGGCCTTGATCTCACAGCAATCCAACTGCTTCTGCCTCTGGAGTCCTGGGTTTAAAGGCCTGTAGCACAACCCTAGCTGTTTTTGTTTCTTTCTTTTTTCACCACTGAATGTATATAATTTGGGGGATGTATTTACCCTTTTTATTTTAAAAAAAATTTTATCCTGTGTATGAGTGTATTGCCTGCACGTATGTGAGTGCAACCCATGTCATGCAATGCCACAGAGTCAAGAAAATGGCTTAGGAGTCCCCTGGAACTGGAGTTAAGGAAGATTTGTAGTCGCCATGTGGATGCTGGGAATCAAACCCCTGTCCTCTGCAAGAGCAGTCAGTGCTCTTTGTTAAGGTTCAGATAGCCCTGCCCCCTCACCAACAGGGCCTCACCGGCCCCTGAGAAAAGGTGACTGAGCTGATAAGCACCTTGGTCTTTGAAGTAAAGAGAAGCAGACTTTTCTCCACTGTTTGGCCAACACAGCAGGCTTCCCCTTTGATCTCTAAAAAGGACAGGTTTTAACAGCTCTGCTCTCCCACTCACCCCCAACTTAAAAAAATATATCTTCCCTTCCTGCCTTCTGCAGGAAGCAAAAACCTCCCTCTTTAAAAAGACCCCAGCTCACAATGAAGGCAGACATTTTCCCTGCCTAGAAGGGAATCTGTCCCATGTGTTCCTTTGCTACTAAACTCTATTCAGATGGAGTTTTATCAGTGCGCTGGTGCTTTTTCCTGATCAACCCTATTCATCATAGGGCTACTTTATCACTCTTAACTGCTGAGCCATTTCTCAAGCCCCTTTATTTACCCTTTTAAATATTAAGGTCAATTATCAATGACTTTGGGCAAATGATAACTTGTATTTTGTGTGTGTGCCTGCATGTATGCATGTGTACCACATTTATGACTGATGCCTGCAGAAGCCAGAAGAGTGTCGGAGCCTCTGGAACTGGAGTTACAGGTAGTTGTAAGCCACCATGTGGGTGCTGAGAACTGAACCAGCATTCTCTCTGAGAGTAATATTGTGCTCTTAACTGCTGAGCCTTCTCTCCAGCTCTAAATGTGCATATTTTAAACACTGGATAGTCTGGGGCAGGAGGGGTAGAGACTTGAGCTTCATAGCAAAAGAAAAAAAAAAGATACATATTTTGTAAGTAGCATTTAATAAAACAGTAATAAAACAGTTTTAAAACATCTTGGACCACAGGCAGATCTCTGTAAAATGGAGGGAACATAACATAGTTCTACATAGTGTAGTTCCAGACCAGCTGGGACTACAGGGAGATCCTGTCTCAAAAAAAAAAAAACACCAAAAACACTTTAGACAGGAATGGTAGGTAGCTCTCACTAATAATAAGCAGCACTTGAGAGGCACTGGCAGATCTTGATAAAAATAATTTTCAAGGGGCTGGAGAGATGGCTCAGTGGTTAAGAGCACTGACTGCTCTTGCAGAGGACCCAGGTTCGATTCCCAGCCCCCACATGGTGGCTAGAAACTGTCCTTAACTCCAGTTCCAGGGGAATCTGAAGCCCTCTTCTGACCTCTGCAGCATTGCACGACACGGGTGCACTCACATACATGCAGGCAATACACTCATACACATAAAATAAAAATTAAAATTAAAAAATAATTTACAAAATCAAATCATGGGGCTCTAGAGGGATAGCTCAGTGATGAGTTCAGTTCCCAGCACTGAAGTCATGCAGCTCACAGCTGCCTGTAACTTCAACTCCAGAGGGATCTGACCTCTTCTGGCCTCTGTAGGCACTGCATTCCACAAACCAACAAAGACATATGCATGCACATAATTTTTTTAAAAAACTAAAATTGGGGCTGGGAGAGATGGCTCAGCTGGCTCATCTGTTACAAGCACTTGCTGCTCTTGCAGAAGACCCAGGTTCAATTCCCAGCATCCACATGACAGCTAGCAGTCATCCATAACTCCAGTTCCAGGGGAATTCAATGCCCTCTTCTGACCTCTGCTGGCACTGCACAGGACAAGTCACTTAGACACATGCAGGAAATCCACTCATACACATAAAAATAAAATCTTTTTTAAAAAAACTAAAATCAAATCATATTTTGTAATTAAGCAATCCACTTGTATTTAGTTATTGTTGCTGGGAATTGAACCCAGGAACTTGCACATGCTAGTCAAGTGCTCTACCATTGTGCTATGTCCCCAGCCCTGCAATCACATTTTATAAAAACAGTTATTACTGACTTTAGAGAAGACCTCTATTGAGCTCCTATGGAACACTAACTTAAGTATCAAACTTTTTCTGTAAGGGTCCAGGTAGGATAAATTTAAGATTAAAGAGCAGCTCTAGCCAGGCGTGCTGACTCATGCCTTTGGTCACATCACTGGGGAGGCAGAGGCAGGTGGATCTCTGTGAGTTCAAAGCCAGCCTGGCCTACATAGTGAATTCTAGGCCAGCTGGAGCTACAGGGAGACCCTGTCTTAAAAAGACAGGAAAAAAAAAAAAAAAACAGCTCTGAGTCTATCAACTCCTTAACCCCTAGTGCATACATGGTGAATCGTCAAAGATATAAAAAGTAAATGAATTCACATTCCACTCAACAAACAGTTCATCAGTTTCTCAGAAAGGTAAACCTTTGTTTACAATATGGAAACAATGTTTATCCAAGTAATGTGAAAATTATGCTCACACAGAAACTTCTATGTAAATTTTCTTTGTGTGTTTGTGGCAGGGTCTCCTATAGTCTAGGCTGACCTTGAACTCAATATGTAGCTGAGACTAGCCCTAAAATCTGCCTCCCAAATGCTAGGACTGCAGGTGTGCACCACCACACCTAGCTAGGAGGTACTTAAAAAACTGGAAACAACAAATGTCCTGGACTCTAAGAAGATTAAATAGCATTTTGTTGTTAAATTGTTGATGTTGTTATTTAAGGTAATAGAAATCGAGACAGTTTATTAACAAGGAGAAAGGCACTCCTGAGGATGGGAGTGAGCTGGTGAGCTGGGAAAGGCATACACTCAGACACCTAAGTAGCATGTTCTTATGGTTGAACTACTCAGCAATAAAAGAAGTAATCTACTGGTACAAGTAGCATCATGATTCAAAAAGCTCTATACTGTTAATATGACAGTCTATAAAAGGTAAAACTGTAGCTACAAGACATAAAGTAGCTGAGTTTTGTGGCACATGCTTGTTTGGTTTTTTGGTTTGGGGTTTGTTTTTGTTTTTTGGTCTTTTTGAGACAGGGTCTCCCTACGGTCCCAGCTGTCCTGGAACTCACTATGTAAACCAGGCTGGCCTTGGACTCATAGAGATCTGCCTGCCTCTGCCTCCCAAGTGCTGGGATTAAAGGTGTGCTCCACCATGCCCAGCTTGTGGCACATACTTGTAATCCCAGCACTGAGGAAAGTAATGCAAATGGATTTAGTGCTCAAGACCAGCCTACCAGGCTGGCTTGTGTCTCAGTTGAGTGCTCACCTAGCATGCATGAAGCCCTGGGTTCGATCCCCAGCACTGCACTAACAGTTAATAATAGTGCACAGCTGTAATCCCAGCCAACACTGGGGGTGGAGAGGTAAAGTCAGGAGGATCAGAAGTTCAAAGTCATCCTCAGCTATATGAATAGTTCAAGATCAGCTTTGCCTAAGTGAGACTCTATCACAAAACAAACAAGCAAACAAACAAACAGAAAAACACTAGGGCATGAAAACAGGCTGATTTTAAAGAGACATGAGGAAATTCTTGGAATGATGGAACTGTATCTAGTGATAATGACTATGCTTGAAGGGCAGCATAGTAAGGCACTTGTCTCAAACACCAAGCACCACATCAAGCAGGAATATATGAGCTAGCCAAAAACTAAAACATGATCAAGACTTATTATTCCCTGTTTGCCTTAGTTCTATCCAAATTTGAATCCCCCAGATTCAAATACATTACATTCCTCAGTATGATGCAATTTCCTTTATCCTTTCCAGTTGCACCAAAGTCTTCCATTGAGTCTTTGGAAACTCAGATCAGCAAAATCCCCTAGGCCTTAATTTTTTTCTGATTATCTTTTGCCTTCCTACTGTAACTACAAATGATTTTCTCTGAGGACTACTTCTACAGTTTTCTAAAAATTGCTGGCTGGGTGTAACTACAGATTATAAATCGGTAATCCCAGCATTTGAAAGACTGAGTGAGGAGGGCTGTACCTTTGGAACCAGTTCAGCCTGGATGACAATGTTCCAGTTCAGCCTAGGCTACACTAATAGGCTACACTAATTCTTGTCTCAAAAAAAAAAAATCTAGAAATAGAGATGTCTTATATTTCATGTCATACTTGGATATGGAATGAGTGACACTGACTTCTCTCAACTTTTAAGGCTGCTTCCTACTTCTCCCTCTGACAAAAATACTAACTCCAAAAAATTCATTCCAACATAATTCTGTCTCACTCTCCAGACCCTGCCTCAAAATACATACTTTTGGGGTGGGGGATCTTTTTGAGACAGGGTTTCCCGGTAACCTCAGCTGTCCTGGAACTCACTATGTAAACCAGGCTGGTCTTGAACTCACAGAGATCAGCCTGCCTCTGCTGGGATTAAAAGCATGCACCACCACGCCCGGCTATTTCTGTAATATTTTTATGAACTCTAAATTTATTTATACAAATATCAAGCTGGGCCTCAACCTCTATTTCTATTTTCCTAAACAATCAGTCATAAAATTTTCTCCCCCAGACCAACATTCCTCCTGTCTTACCTATAGCTGATAAACACCTTTTATTTGATTCACTGTAGAACACTTTTCCAGA